TTCGCTTTCGCCGCCCCCGTTGGTGGAGGCGCTCCCCCCGTCGCGCTCCCGCCGCTCCCCGCTCCCCCTCCACAACTACGGCCATACGTGCTACATGAACGCGACGCTGCAGTGCCTCCTCCACACCCCTCACCTTGTGGAGCGGCTGGAGGCCGACGTCCGACGGATGCGGCGCACCCGCAGGAACGGAAACGACAAGGAAACGGACCGGGACGGGAACGGGGCGACGAAAACAGACGGGGAGGCGGAACCGTGCGCGTGCGCGCCGGCGACGGAGTCCCTCATCGGGCTCGCGCGGAGTGACGAGGAGGGCGGGGGGTCGGAGGGATTTCTGCTGCGTCTCAAAGACATCGCCGCGGCGCGGAATGAGCAGTTCAGCAACGGCCAGAACGACGCACACGAGTTCCTGCGGACGATCCTGCACGCGGTGCACGAGGAGATCAATCGCCGCGGCCGCGCGCCCTACGCGCCAATCGAGAACATCCCGGAAGAGACCGCAGCGGCGGCGATGGCGCGGTGGATGGCGCACCTCCGCGGACTCGACGACTCTACCGTCTACGACTTCTTCGGCGGCGTGCTCTGCTCCCGCTGCGAGTGCCTGAACTGCCAGAACGTCTCTCTCACTTTCGACCCTTTTCTCGACCTTTCGCTGCCGATCGCGCTCACCCCGACCACCCCGAGCCTGCGCGGGAAGACACCAAAGAGCACCAAGGGCGGCGCTAGCGGCGAGAAGGGCAGCGCGTTTCAGTTTTTTTCGAGCAACAAGGCGGCCTCCCGTGAGGAGAAGGGCTCCCGGTGCACTGCCGAGGCGGTTGACATCGTGCTGCGCGAGTCCTGTATGGCGGATACGTACGAGATGCTTAATGGTGGAAACCAGCTCTTTTGTGATAAATGCAAAAAACTTTGCGATGGAAGACGCTGCTCGAACGTGGCACTATGGCCGCGTATTTTGGTGCTCCACCTTAAGCGGTTTGACGGATCGGGAAAGAAGAACGACGCGAACATTATCTACCCCAAGACGTTCATGCTAAGAGATGTTCGCTATCGGCTTTATGCGGTGTGTTGCCATAGCGGTTCTGAGAGTAGTGGACATTACACGAATTACGTCGCGCTTGACGAAGCGGTGGTGAAACAGAGCGATTCTAATATTATCTCGGATGCCTGTGGAGAGGAGACTCCTTCAAAAGCGCCTTGTAGGTCGACAATGGAGAAGTGGTATCTTTGCAATGACAAGTGTATCAGCGAGGTGGACGCCAAAACCGCTTTTTCGGCACTCGGCAATGCATATATCCTGTTTTATTATCAGCAATAGAGGAGGGGAGGGGGAGGACAATATAATTGTTTGTCCAGGGGAGGAAACAAAAAGTAGAAGACAAACGGGGTGTGAATTTGCTTGCCGGTTTTGATGTCATTACAGTGTGTGATGAGTTTATCTATTGAATTCAAATTTATGTTTTAGGACTTTACGATTACTAACGGTTTTTTCTACCTCGATCGACTCTAGGTGATTGGATAACAACTGGGTTATATCACGGTTAACGATATCATTATGATTCATGAATTTGGTTTTAACATGTTTCTAGAAACACTTTTCTACTTTATTTTTTTCATTGGCTCTTATTTACACTTTCCCGGCACAACTTCTCGCTCTCCTCCTCCCCCCTTAAAAAAAAATTTCTCATATTCTGCCTTTGTTAAAATTCGATTTAACGAAATATCAAGAATACCGATAAACGAAATTTAATCCACACTAGGCAGGTAGTCGGTATTAACAGGTATTTTATTATTGCTATTATCATTCTCATTAGCAATGACGGCGGCGGGAAATTCGGTTTATGTCGCGGTTGATACCCCTATTCTCAGCATCCGAGAAGGCATTTTCGAGACCTCTTACTATGGCTATCCAATTGAACTGACGTTGCCTGGGGTGTGCACGAGCGCGCGTTTCGTTCGCCGGTACTCCGATTTCGAATCCCTGCGCAATCAGCTACGCGCGGAACACTGGTATTGCATTATCGCACCAATCCCGGAGAAGGAATCGCTGCATGATAAGATCAGCCCCAAGGATTCGAATCCCGGCGCGGTGCTTGAGTATAGGCGCGTTGCCCTCCGCCGTTTTCTCCTCCGCGTGGCGTGCCACCCTATCCTAGGCAAATCCCCGCTCCTCGCGAAGTTCCCCCACGACGAGGCATGGCGGGGGTGTGTGAAGAACCCCCTCGTCGCGCCCCCGTTTCTCGCCGGAAATCTCGCGGAGGAGTGGGTGAAGTCGCTGCCCAGCGCG